AAGGAGTATATTGAAGAAAATCTAGCCAAGAATTTCATATGCCATTCTAAATCTCCGACAGGAGCTCCAATTCTATTTGTGAAGAAAAAAGATGGATCATTGCGGATGTGTGTTGATTATCGAGGACTCAACAAGATTACCATCAAGAACAGGTATCCACTACCTTTAATATCTGGACTTTTTGATCAGCTAAATCAAGCTAAGATCTATACAAAAATAGATCTTCGAAGAGCATACAAACTAGTACGCATTAAAGAAGGAGATGAATGGAAGACTGCGTTTTGAACTAGGTATGGACATTTTGAATACAATGTCATGCCTTTTGGACTTACAAATGCACCAGCAGCTTTTCAACATCTAATGAATGATGTTTTTTGAGAGTTTTTGGACGATTTTGTAGTCTGTTATCTAGACGACATCTTGATTTATTCTAAGAATCTAGAAGAACATGAACTTCATGTTCATCGTGTATTACAAAAATTAAGAGATGGAGGACTCTATGCCAAGATAGAAAAGTGTGTATTCCACACTACTCAAGTCGATTTCTTAGGTTACATCATTTCAAATGATAGACTTATGATGGATCCAAAGAAAGTTCAAACTATTATAGATTGGGAGATTCCAAAATCGGTAAGAGATGTCCAATGCTTTTTGGGATTTGTCAACTACTAATAGATCTTCATTAAGGACTCCTCTCGAGTTGTAGCTCTACTTACACATTTGACTTGTAAAGACAAACTCCAATGGAATCAAGAAGCGAAAGTTGCTTTTGAATCTTTGAAGACAACGTTTGTTTCTGCACCAATCTTGTGTTGTGTTGATTTTTCCAAAGCATTCTTTATGGAAATAGATGCATCAGGCTTTGCTCTGGGTGCGGTTTTATCACAAATGGGAATAGATGACAAACTTCATCTAATAGCCTTTCATTCAAGAAAATTCTCAGCAACAAAAATCAATTATGAGATCCATGACAAAGAACTTCTTGTAATTATGGATTCTTTTCAAGAATAGCGTCATTATCTAGAAGGCGCTTCCAATCTAGTCACCGTGTATACGGATCACATGAACCTCGAGTATTTTATATCAGCACGCATATTAAATCGTTGTCAAGCTCGTTGGAGCATGTCTTTATCAAGATTTGAGTTCATCATCACTTATCGGCCAGGAAAATAACAAGGTTTGTCTGATGCCTTATCTAGACATTCTTATCTTGCACCAAAAGAAAGAGATGCAGCTTTTGAGCAACAAAGAATGATTCTCTTGAAGCTGGAGCAATTTTATCTTCAAGCAATAAAATCAACATTGATTGTTGATTTAACTTTTCTTAAGTAAGTCCAGTTAAGTATGTCTTCAAACCCTCTTATTCATGATATCAAAAATAATTCTTCTAAATCTCATGATCCCTCTAAATTTGAATTCAAGAACAACCTACTTTATTTCGAAGGACGCCTATATGTTCCAGAAGGAGAAGCACATTTACGTATTCTTCAAGTTCGTCACAACTTCCCAGCACCAAGACATTTTAGATATAATAAGACTTTAGAGCTGATATCTAGGGATTTTTGGTGGCCTCAAATGTGGAAGGCAGTCAAAGATTTTGTACAATCATGTGATGTTTGCTCAAGATCAAAAACTCCTGATCATCGACTTTTTGGACTTCTTCAGCCATTACCGATTCCAGAACAACCATGGTCTTTTGTTTCTATGGACTTCATCACGGATCTTCTAATCTCAGGTTCTCATGACTCTATATTCGTGATAGTAGATCGTTTTACCAAGATGGCATATTTTATACCATGTAAAAAATCTATTACAGGTGAAGAAACAGCTAAGCTCTTTCTTGATAATATCTATCACTATCATGGATTACCCAAGGATATTATATCAGATAGGGGAACTCAATTTGTATCAAGATTTTGGCGGACTCTTTTCAAGATTCTAAAAGTGGATATAAAACTATCTTCGACATTCCATCTTCAAATTGATGGACAAACGGAGCGTGTTAATCAAGTTTTGGAGCAATATTTAAGATGTACCATGAACTACCAACAAGATGATTGGACAACTCTTTTGCCATTGGCAGAATTTGCTTACAATAACACGGTATATTTTTCTACAAAACAAACATCTTTCTTTGCTAATTATGCTTATCATCCATGACTCGATACTTTTGACTTTTCAAAAGTTGATAATCCTGCTGCAAAAGATTTGGCGATTCATTTATCAGAGCTACATGCAACGATAAAGGCGTAGTTAAAAGAGGCTCAAGAACAACAAAAGGTTAATGTGGATGTCTATCGAAAGGAATAACAACCATTCGTCTTGGGTAATAAAGTATGGCTACTTTGTCGCAATATCAAGACCACTCGTCCTTGTGATAAGTTAGACTATCGAAGACTTGGACCATTTTCTATTTCTGCACAAATCAATCCAGTTGCATATCATTTACATCTATCGGAGTCAATGAAAATTCATCCAGTATTCCACGTATCTCTTCTTGAACCATACAAGACAGTGGACATACCAAGAAGACGACAAGCTCCACCTCCTCCTATAGAAGTAGACAATAATGAATAGTTTGAAGTAGAAGAAGTCTTAGATTCAAGGCGGCGCCAAAATAAATTGGAATATCTTGTCCATTGGCATGGATATGATATTAGTGAATGCACATGAGAGCCAATAAAGAATCTTGCAAATGTAGCAAAGACGATGGAGGCTTTTCATCGACGACATCCATCAAAATCAAGATGAAAACCTTCTTTATAAAAAAAACAACATCTAGGCAAGATAACATTCTACTTTCAATCCTTGTTTGTAGCTTCTTTGTAGTTGTGATGCTCAAGAGATGGAGAACCAACAACCAGCGGATTCGATTCAAGAGCCTTCATTTGTTGACTTGCTAGACGAGATATTATGATTTTCACAACCTTTAAGACGATGCAATCGAGATGAAGATCTTCAAGAACGACATGTTCTTTCTCAAATAGATGGCGAGATACAACGTGTTTGATATCATGATTTAGAAAGGGACTCCTGATGTTTGGTGATTTTACTAGAGGTAGGAACAACTCCTGATGGTATTCCAAATGTTCTATTCGAATGAAGTTATGAAGGCCTCAACAATAATTAAATAACTGGGTGGTCTTTTCGCCTTGGTATGGGATACTACCGATGGTTGAGAGGCCTTATTAATCATCTTTGAAGAGAACAAAGATCAAAGTATGTGGCAAATATAATTTGTCGTATCATAGATTTCCTCAACAAATGATGACCGCTCCTCATGGAACTCGTCCCTACAAGGAGGGGGGAGGGAAGGGTAATGTCACGGACATACTCATGTAAGTTAGTAATTACATATACAAATAGGTGGAAGTAAGTAAAAGTAGATAAAAGTAAGTTAATTCTATAGTATTTAATATGAAAGCTTCCTAGAAGCTTTATAGATGCTATTTTGACTTCATAGGTGTCTTTAATTGATTTTTTGGATTAGAAACGTGGTCAATAAGTTGGCCATGTGCCACACATGTTGTTAGCTTGAAGATCAAGCTAATTATGTGGCCCACACGTAGAAAAACTTGCCTTATAAGTCAAGGCATGTGTCCTACAAAGTCAATACATATTGGAGATCCTATAGAACGTCGCCATGTAGACCCTAGTTAGATAGTATATATAGAGACAAGAGTGAAGCTTTCTTCACTCTTGTCAACTCCTTTCTTGCTTCCAGTCTAGTTTCAAGGGTCTCTAATTTTCTTGTCTTTTGGCAATAGCTATTTCAGTTTCTCTTTCAATATACATACTTATTTATTTATTTTTTATTATCTTTCTTTGAATGAAGGCTCACTTGTCTGAATTATTTTTTCATCGAGTTCTTGTCCTTGACAATATGATTAAAGTAAAATTTAAAATGTTTTTTTTTTTTTTAATATTAAAAAGCTACAATAGAATCATTTTACATTTTTGAATATTTAACCTATTTTTCTTTAGGTCTTTAAGAAGCATCATTCTTTTGGTAGTTAATATATATATATATATATATATATATCAACAAGAAAAAATCCATTCTTAATCTTGATTGTATTTTCTTACATTCAAATCTTAATTTAAGATTTTATTTCATTTTATATTTTTGCTTAACAACAATTAATTTCTTTACACTTTATAAATATCCTTCTACTTATCTCCTATCTTTGTTTTTTTTTTCTTTTTCTTTTTCTTTTTTATTTGTCCTTATAGTATTTGTCCTAAAAATATACATTATAAAAATCAATCTAAACTCATTTATTTAATACTACACGGTTAATACCTTGAAACCTTGACTACAATACATATATCACAATATTAAAAGAATATCTTCATAAGATTCTATATTTATTGCTATTAATAATCTTTAAAAATAAATTATAATTATAATTCTTTATATTCAAACATATATTTTATATTAGTAAAACAGTGATTTATTTGAACAATACAAAAGCTTAAAATTCTTAAATATAAGAGACCATAGCAATATTTTTTTTCTAACTTTTTTTTTTTAAAGAATTTATGCATAAATGTTATTTCATTAATTTAATTTTTTTTCTTTCATTGACCACAAAACCAATTAATTGGGTCTTAAAAATTGTTAGGTACAGAGAATTTTCAGATTATCCGAAAATGACTTGATATATAACTCAATTGGATGAATTTTAGATGATGAAAGTTGGAATTTATAAATTCAAAATGAGAAACATTTTAGTAGTGAAATTGTACCATGCATTGTCAAAGTTGGCTTCATTACAAAAGCCTCTCTGTGCATTATATAAAGTTTGATGTAAACTCATTGTCAAACACTTAAAGGAGAACAAATTTCATTACATGTAATATAAACTAGAACTTTGAGACCTTCAGATATGCAAGCAGCTCGTGACAGATTATAATTGCAGCTTTTCTAGTGGATCAGGGCAACAAAATCCACATGAATGAGCTAAGACCAAGTACACATCCCCTGAAAATCACACATGTACATAAATTTCCTGCCATAGATTATGTGAGAACAGAGCATATATTTGAAAGCATCTGGCATACGACAATCAGAAAATTCAGATGCATAACATGATGATTGTGCTATATGATAAATGCAAGACTTGTGCTTAGCCTAATGAAACAATTGGCTTTCACCTCTTTCAATCTTGAAATAGAGATCTCTATATGCTGGAGGTTGGCACTTCGATATCCCTGAATCTGTCACAGCCAAGAAACACAAAATCTGAAGAGTCAAAACTACAGGGAATACAAGAAAAAGACCACAGGAAGGTTTATGAATTGGGATAGTTTGGAACCTTCGAGCAGTTCGTCATTTGTGGAACGGTAATTACTAGCCAATTCCCATTTATGGATTTTTCATAACGCCCTCGTGAATTTTTCAAACAACTTGACTTATCAACTCTATGTTACATCAGAGTTTACACTAACAGAAGGTCATCGAGCTATGAGAATTTTCACATAAATGCCAAGTAGTCACTATGCGAGGATTAATTACCTGGTCCATCAACTGGTAACAAACTCATGATGAGGTGAAAGTTGTTGGGTGGAATTATTAGTGTTTTCATGTACTGTTATTTGATTATAGTGCCCATTGCTCATAGTTGCGGAGGATTGACCATTGCTGCTGATACCTTCAATCCTTCCTTCAAAATGGTCCACCCTGTTAAGCTGGTTCATTTGATCGTTCATATCCATATTGTACGGATTCTTTGTGAGAGTGGGAGATACCATCGAAGATCCAAGCTGGTTTGCATCACAGTGACGTAATCCTAGGGTGAGCGATACACCAGTACTTGTAGTCAGGCCAGCTGAAATTGTTCTTGACGCATAGTCCTCATTCCCATATCTGTGTCCGATGTTGCTGTTATATGATCCGAAAGTCCCGCTAGCAACGTTTGCTTCAAGCTGATCGACTGTCGTAGCTCCCCTCTGAGAGATCGTGTATCCATTTTCGTCTTGGTTGATCTGATTCATAGATTGGCTATGAGCACCAAAATCGGTATCGCCTTTACCTTGCAAGTCTAATTCATCTTCAGGAGAGAAATTTTGGGGCTGTGCGCAGTTCTCACCAGTATCAACGTTCATTCCAGGGTGAATAAGCGCCGTTGATGAATTAGAGTTGAAGGCATCAGATACAGAGTTTAATTTAGGCTTCTTGACTTCTCGACCTTCCGGATTATAACTCCCGGCAACACCGACATCTAGGTGATGACCTCTGGGAAGTGGCTGTGAATGAAATTCGGTGTTGGTGTCAGATGACATTGCTCCAGCTTCTGAAACGCTGGCTCCAGCATCATGTTCTCTGTCATCGTTTCTCTTCACGCCGTTCGGTAATCTGGACGATTGGGCACCTGCACTGATCTCATGGAGCAAACCCGAGTGCCCTCTGCCTCCCTCATACTGCTCATATGTGTTGTTCTCAATCTCCACTTGGTCTCTTGCCATTCTTTCAGACTGCGCCAAGGCTGTAGAATGATCTTCGGAGTACTCTTTCTGTTCCTCCACGTACATTTCCTCTACCATTGGCTTCCATAATCGAACTCGTGCGTTGATGAACCAGTTAGAGACCTGATTTCACAGAAGTCACGTAACTCTGTCAAGCCATCTGCAAGTAATTCTATCCCCTCTGACAAAAGTGGATGTTTAACAAAAGCGTTCTGGATACTGGGTAGGGAAGGGGACTTCAGGTTAAAGATTCGAGGAAATCGAATGGTGTATATAGAACACATTCAAACTGTACAATTAAACAAAATGAGTATTCGTAGGTTGCGGAAACATCAAATTACAGCTCTCAAATTCCTGCTACTGATATATGAGCACCACACGAAAAGTCTTGGAGTAATATTATACCTGACTCCTTGTCAGTCCAGTCTGCTTCGCAAGGGACAATTTGTCCACGTCTTTCGGATATCTGATCATTATTTGTCACATCATGCATCAGCAAGTGGAGAATTTTGTTGTAACAGAATTAAAGTTTCCTGTTCCTATAATTGCTAACAAAAAACTCTAAAACATTTACTCATAGAACTAATCTTCCTAACCAAATTTCTCATTAATGACCCGATCATGCCACTTCCGCATTTCAGCCAAAACTAGGAAACCTAAATAAATTGATCTGCAAAGCCTTTCGATCATCTTAGGATGCAAACTCAATTCATTACCATTTAAGACTTATTATGCGTCTTGCCCTTCACTAACAACCTCAGAAGTACAAGGCAAGTTTTCTTACGGATGAAGGAAGTGCTCAAATAACCAGGCCCTCAACACGGATACAGCCCGTTCTGGAAGACCTCGTTGCGGTCTCCATGCATGCTGTTGGAGCATTCCAAGTTGCTGGAGTGCTCGCTGTTGACGTATCTGCTGATCCACGTAACGTAGTCTGGATGTTTCTCCTTGACCTGTTCTGTCGTCTTCTCCGAGAGTTCTTTTGACTATTCTGAGCTGACTTCCAATAGCATCCTTCAGGCATCTGAAGAATGTCAAGGACCACATAAATTAAACTTCAAAAAACATTTGATGGAAATTTTTAATCATCAAGGACACAGTGGACCACTCGAAATAATTCACTGGAATACATATGCACAGGTCATTAAGTCATGTTGGAGAATTCCAGGAGTCGGCTATAGAATGAATTAGTGGAGACTACTTTACTTTCGAATCTAGCTAACCTACTTCTGAAGTTACTGGTAAGAGTCAATTACCTTTATCAGGCAAGACGATGCGTGAAATGTATTTACCAAATAGGTATTCTGAAACAGTAATTCTATGATGTCTTTACATGCTTGCTATGCATATCATGGACAGAGTGACAGTTAAGAAACAGAGTTAAACTAACTTCAGTATGCAATGGATGAATTTTTATTTGTGAAGTGCGTCACTTCAGGTCATGAATCATTTCTGTACTTCGTAGATTATGAGCCTTTCTTCAGGATGCTACTTAAAGTATCAAGAACAGTATGCCAACCTGAAGTGACGGGACATTGCTTGTAGGGCTAGTATTGTGTAAGGAGTCGCTGTGTTCGGTCCTGCTTGGGAATTGAATCCAGTGATGACGAGCTGGAGGTGGTCACAATATCGGCGATATCTGGCTTCAACCTGTGCATGAGAACATTTCATTTAAGAAAATAGCACGACAGTTTAGAATCCAAATCTAAAGGATAATGAGTTTGTGCGGGTGGTAAGTACGTTATCAGTCCTAGCGGTAATAAGTTAGGCATCAAAAGCAAGGTCTAGAAGAATATTTTAAATGTTGGGGACTGGATACTTCCGAGTTTGTATTATGAACTCCTTATCTCACTGTCACATGAACCACAATTGTCTACGCGGCATTGGACCAATATTATGAGCCAGAGCCGACCTTTTCAGGAGAATTACTTGACTATTCTAAAAGCGATTTTTTCGGATTTTTATGCTTGACATGTCCAATTCAGATGACATCTAGGTTCATGAAATCAGGAAATAATGAAATCTTACTAGTGAGAACGACACCAGATCCAGTTTGCTGCAACATTTGCTAAGTACTCGTGGCAGTCAGTGACGTAAATTATACCCCACAAATTCTTAAAATCCAACAGTCCAGGTAACGGAAAAGAATTCGTAAGGATCTAGATCATACTAGCGTAACAGTTTTCCAGCCGTTAAGAAGAGTAACCACACAATAAATTAAAATTACCTCATCAAGCATGAGAGAAAGCTTCTGCTTTTTCAGCTCTAGATCATCCCGACTTTCACACCTAGCCGCTTCGGCAAGACCTTGAATCATCTCTGATTCAAGAGGAACCTGAGAGACCGTTACGAGAGACGATGTGGTAACAAATGAGGCTGGATCTCTAGCGGAATCAACTTCGCCGGCGAGCATTCCGGAGCGCTCCTCTCGTCCATTGTAAGTTAAGTTGGCATCAACACTTGTTGAGCTTCCCCCAGCCATGCTCCAATGCTGTTGATCAGATGATCTAACAGACTTTGGAGGTCTTTTTAGTGGTGTTACCCTACAGACTTCGTTGAGGATGGCTTGAGCAGATCGTAGAAATTTGGACGCTGATATGTGATTACTCGATCCGGCCGTACCTGATGGGCCACTGTAGCTGCTTGATGCGAGATGCTTCCTGCCTCCACTGTCCATGTGTTCTTGTAAAAATCTTGCCCCCATGCCCATGACATCATCTCTTGATGAGGTTCGGAAACGACTAAGGTCAGCACTAGCCCCTGTTAGATATCTGGACGCCAGTTCCTTGGTCTTTGCTATTGCGGCTGCTTGAGCTGCAACTGCATTCATTTGTTCTGAATCGGGTAGTTGTCCTCCCCCCGAATGAAAGTGAGATTGATGTGAAGATAAAGACAGAGACAAGCCTTGTCCAGTGACAGATACTCCGTGTGAACGATCCATTTGCAAACCAATTTCAGATTGGAGATGATCTGTTTGGTGCATGCGTGATAGATCTGCTTGGCATGCACGTGTTATACCATATTGGGGCAAATCAGTGTCAAACTGCGATTGGTGGTTTTGGTTCAACTCTTCATTCATAGGTAGGAATGAGTGCTCATTCCCTCCGTTTCGCCAGTTGTAGTGATGGTTTCCGCTTCGACTGGCTGAGTGATCGTGAAGAGATAGTCCTGGGATTGCTCCTGAAGCTTCAAGAGCTCGTTGGCTAACTGCGCCATGTGCAAGTGCAGTTTGGGATATGAAAGGAACGCCAAATTGTTGTTGACTTTGGTCGCTGGACGATTGTGGGGCAGTAGTTCCTCCTTCCTGTGGAGGATATAGTAATGTGGTAACTAGTCCAGCTTGACGGCCATCAGAATGAAACCCCGCGTTTGAGAATCCTGCCGCTGCATTCACGTAATACAGCTGTGCCATTGATTCTTCCTGGTTGTTAGATGGGGTATAGTACACACTCCCATGATCACTATGGCCGCCGTCGTTAAAGGATCCACCATGCAAACCACCGATGAGTAGCTGCGCAGTTGCTGTGCTGGTGGGAGCCGCCATGATCCCACTTCCACTAATGAGAATGTTCTGCATGTTGGAGTTACTGTACAATCCTCCTCCATTTATATTCTCCCAGTTATTAGACTTTGAAACAGGTGTCGAGCGACTCGGAAAGCTTCCGGATGTTGGGGAAGGCTCATGATTCGTATAAAGGGTGTCAATCAAGGGGCCCGAAGAGTTTTGAGCTGCTCCTTCAGATGTCTTAGGGGCCTGCGATTGGCTTGGTTCTTTGAGGGGGACTTCGAGGACCCCCACCCCTGTCAAAAAGTTATAAGAGTCGGATGCCATCAGTGAACTGTTGTAGGAGTCGGCCTGTAAGTTGTGGTTGGTATCGGCCGCGTACGCTCGCAAAGGCTCTGAAGAATCCATGTGAATGTTTCCACGATATAGTGAAACTTCTGTACCTACAGCAGAATTCGAAATGACCACGTAGCATGTTTAATGTAGTTCCAAGTCTGACCAAATCAAATCATGCTTTCTAGATAACAGATTTTTCGTGTGGGAAATTAGAAGCCAATAATACCTTATTAGATTCTAAAGAAAGGCAAAAAGAAAAGGAATATCCGCATTAGTTGTGAAAGCCCCACCGAAAGCTGAGCTTGTAGAGACACGAGATCGCTGAGAAGCCCAGCTTCAGGCTTAGTAGATGGGGTCAAACTCAAAACGAAGTTCCACTGAGTTCATCAGGATCTATGCGTTTCAGTTTGTGCTTCTGAGTTCATGAAACACAAGCCCTTCAATCATTGATTGCTTTGCATCTACATGCAATTTGTCCCTTCTTAAGAGAGGTTCTCAAATGTTGCAACCTCCGCAACGATACCTTCACAGCACTGTGTTTCAACCAGATGGGGGCTTGAGTACACAATAAATCATGTAGGGCTTTTGAAATCTCAAGATCTGAACTCAAGGTACTGACTGCGTCAGTACAGGGGAGGGGAATGACAAACTACTACACAGAAGTTTGTTTGAAGGTCGTCAACAGTACTGAAAACAGCTGATTCTTTGGCGCTGTGATGCGATCTTTTTATTTTCAACTTATAACTTCACGGCCCACGACTTCCATATTCGCCAAAACTCTGCATTACCAAAGGGTCGTCCTGTCATCGCAACATCTTCGTCAAGTGGCACCTTGTGGATTATTGAACATTATTGCAGACTGTTTCAAGTAGAACGAAAACACGCAGAAGATGTGATAATATGCAATTGCAGTGCGTCCGTCTCCGATTACATCTCAGTCAGTCATGAGTTACTGACATAAACTTAAGCCTCTAGCGAGCTACTTTCATATCAAAGCTCCTTAACCAAAACTCGACTAGTGGTCACAAGAGACACGAGGACGCATGATATCGCTACAAGAAAATCAGCATCAACACCAGCACCTGAAAATGCTGAGGGGCAACCTAACCACACGCAATTACCTGCTGAATCTACTCCAACGTATCCAACGCAAGTTTCCGTCAAAACCAGAAGGAGAAGGGGGGGAAAAAAAAAAAAAAAAAAAAAAAAAACCCTTACTAAACTACAGCCGTATCCACGCGCTCCCAACCCATCATAACTTTTTTCTCACGTACACATCCAATCCCCTTAAACAACTTCACTCAACGCGCACACACACACACACACACACAAACACATGCACACTACCTCTCTTCTACCTTCTCTTCGACCTCACACCACCGACTTAACCCTGATCTCTTCCTCTACCACCTTCCACCTTCCTCCAATCCTCCACCACAACTCCAACACTACAGCACTGAGTGCTGCCCCCGCCGAGTCAACATGGTTGATAGAAACTTTTTTTCCAGTTTATATCCTTCGCACTCGCAATTAATCACTTCACCATATCTAGCTACAACACCTATTTCGCACACAACAGTGTATGCGATGTGATATAACTCTGATGGAAGCTTTTCTTTTCGCCCTTTCCTGTCCTCCGCTTGCAAGTGGTTGCACCTCTCCCAACGTCCTCCTCCTAAAATCAATCGCACTCTCACACTCAATCACGTTAGACGTCGTCGTCTGAAATCCCCCATTCCTCTTCTTCCACCCCACCCCCCTGGTAGACTTCCGGCAGTGCACGAGTGTCACCGTCGTCTACGATGGAGAGAGACGTCTCTCCCCTCTCGATGATGCATCTATTGATCTCGCCCCCTTGTCTCGTCGTCCCCTTCCCTCTCAAAGCTTCTCTCTCACTCTCTCTCAATCTATCTCTCTCTCTCTCTCTCTCTCTCTCTCTTTCTCAATCTCTCTCACTCACTCCCTCTCCCTCTCTCTCGTGAGACTTCCTTCCTTCTCCCACTTGCTGTCTCCCCCCACCCCGCCTTTGTCCTACCGGAATGGGCAGCGTCCACCACCAACGAACGCCCTGCAGGCAGCGCGACGTAAGAAGAAGAAGAAGACGAAGACGAAGGAAGGGAAGGAAAGGAAAAAGATGACAGGTAATTTAAAATATATATAAATATAAATAAACACACCAACTGCAAAAACACACTAGTACTACAATACTACAATACTACAACAACAAGGATTCATGCATCCATTCAGTGAGTCAGTCAGTCATTCCATTCATTCGTGGAGATGGGAAGGGGGGAGGGGGGGAGGATGCCCGCGCTGCTGCTGCTGCCCGTCGTGGACTCGACTGACTGACAGCATTAGCAGACAGACATACCATTGCATGAGCTGGGGGGGTCTTTACGTACCCCGTCCCTGCACTAATTACACTTTTAGGGAGAGAGGGAGAGGGGGTCTGGTATGCTCGGGCACTGGTCCCCACTCCTTCCTTCCTCTCTCTCTCTCTCTCTTCCCTCTCTGCTATTCCTCCGCCACCTAATCCCAATCCAGCCTTCAGCCCTTCGCTCTCATATACATTTTGCTGCTTGCCTTGCCTTCCATCCTGCCGGGCTGTCTCTCACGTATCTGCTCCTCATGTCTCCGCTGCCCAGACCGGCGAGACCCTCCCCCGCCCCGTCTCCCTGCTCTCCGCTCTCCTGGTCTCGAGAACCCTCTCCTTCTCCTTCCTTCCTCTCCCTCCCTCCCTCCAAGTTTCTTTCTTTCTCTCCCCCCGTCTCCGTCTCCGTCTCTCGTCTCGTCTCCCTTGAAACCCACACCTGTTCGGAGTAGACTCACGGAGTGAAGCCCCGCCTCCCCCCTCGCCCCGCCCTCCCTTCCTTTCCTTTCCTTCCTCTCCACCCGTCCCGTCCCGTCTTCTTCCTTCCCGATCCCGATCCCGTTGGCGGCAGCAGCAACATTGCCAAGGGAAGAAGGGGGTGGGGGGAGTGAGGGGGATAGTTATGGAATCCAATGGGTGAGAGAGAGAGAGAGAGAGAGGAGTGAGTGAGTGAGCGTTGTGGTGTCGGGTCCACGACGGACGATCCCGATTCCCTCGTCTCCCTCCCTGCCTCCCTGTCTCCGTTCTTCTTCCCTTCCCCTTCTTCTTCTCCTTCTTCTGCATCAATGGGGGTTTGTGCCTTGAAGAAACTGGGCTGCTGCCTGGCTGCTCTCTGCTCTGCTGGGGGTGAGAGAGTGTGAGAGAGTGCGTGGGTGTTTCTCTCTCTACTCAGCTCTATCTCTACTCTCTACTCTCCAACTAACTAGGTTGGAATAGGAGTAGTCGTAGGGGTAGTAGGGAGGGGCCATGTTGAGTAGTTAATGTAAGTGTGATTAGCAGGTGAAATGACATGGAAGAGCCTCGCTAATCATGGTTCTCCCTAATTGAATGGATGTTGATCTATCATAACACCACCCCTGCATTAGCCTAATCCCCCATTATGGCTTCAATCTGGATAGGAGGGGAATGGCCTTGCTTGCTTGGCTCTCCATGACAAAATCAATTCTCATGAGACAAAACAATAAACAAAAAAGCTTCTCGCATGCTAAATCCTTATCTTGCTCTTGTCGTCATTATGTGATTGATTTGTACATGGGCTTAATTGAATGAAAAGCCCCTTGCCTCATGTTCCATCTTTGCAAAATGTGGATTATTTTGGTGGACATCATTTTTTCCCTATTTCTTTCTCCTTTTTACATGTTCATCTTTACCCTTTTTTCAGCTCAAAAGAAATTTTCACTTTTTTGTCATTTTTTTCAATACAAATGTTTACAAAAACCATGTGACCATCTTCTGTGTTGAACCATCCCCCTTTTAAAGTTCTAGATGTAATCATTTTTCATGTAAAAAGCTTTTTGTAATCAATTCCATGTGCTAATTATTTGTCTTTTTCTTTTCTTTTTTTTTCTTTTTTTTCTTTTTTTAAGATCTCATGAGAAGTTATTGCTCAACAGTTTAATAGGTATGTGTATTCTTTTGATTACCTCTAGTCCCAAAATATTGTAGTTTAATCCCAATATGATCAGTTTCAAATCTGCATAATTATTATATATTACTTTGAGATTTACTTGCTATAAATCCTTTCTCCCTTTAATCTTATAAAATAAGAAAGAAAAAATGATGTCCACCAAAATAAATAAATAAAAAAAAAAAAAAAAGTTAAAGCTTTTCATCGATCAATATTTTTTTTACTTTGCTTTCGAAGAACATTGAAAGTCGTACTATGCATGTTCTGTATTAGAAGGATGTGATAACTGACATAATGTTACTTTGAAAGAATAAACAAAATGAATAACTATGTATTACATTGAATTTAAATTTGAAAAATAAAATTAAAAAAAATGTATAGTTTTTCTTATAATACTACCTCTTTTTGTAATATAAAATCCAAAGAAAAACAAGTTTAAATTTATTTAAACTTATAAATCAATATAAATCAATATAAATCAATATAAATTATACTATCTAAAAATAATAATAATAAAAAGAGTTGTGATATTGGGGACCATTACTTAATGTCTTGCTTCATGAGAGGTTCTACAAAACAACTCAAGCATTCCCTTTGCATATGAAATATACTGTTTGATATGATGAATAACTAAGCTCAAAAGTGTCTCAAGGGGTCAATTCATGATTAAAATACATGATTAAGGTAGAAAAATTCTGTATTAGGATTCACTCTATGACATTGTTTCTTATTTTGGTAAGATAAAATTTTACAATATTATTGTATTTGATTTATGTTTACAATATGTTGGACCTTTAAGCTGTGTTCATTTATGGTTATCGAAATATTCATGAATTTGATTTTCTAAAAAATATATGTAATTTACTATTATTTGTAAATATCATAGTTGATGACTGTTATATTAATGAGTTAAGATTAAAATACATAGTGTGATATGCACAAGATGTATTGACTGATGTCATTTGACTTTTTCAGTAGCTGTGAATAAAGATAATTATTATAATCAGTTTTGGGAAGAATTTCTAGTTTGCTTTTGGTTTTTTCAACATATATATATATATATATATATATATATTTGTAATCATAACAGAATTGATGGTAGTTTGTTTTTGGTAACTGTGATTATAAAATAATTTTTCTTACTAAAAAGATAATAAACACCTTTGAAAATAAAATTTCTGAAACTTAAAACTTGAATGAAGATATATTTTTTTTGAATCATGGATATATATATATATATATATATATATATACATACATACATACACACACACACAAATTGATAAATTACAATTCAAAAAAAATGTGTGAAAAAATATTGTTGTAATGGGTGCAATTGATCACAATTGACACAAAGTGTGAGTCATTAGGTTCTTTTAATATTACACATTTTTATAAATAAAAAATAAATTATCATGTTTCATTAATAGGAGAAAATGAAATGATTTTTTTTTTTTTTTTTTTGGTTTTATTTGATTTTAATGAGGAAAGTTTACTAATATCCAACAAGATGAAAACTGAAAACAGTTTAAGCAAATTGACTCAAAATATTGACCTAAAATTTTTTTTTCTATGTTTTTATATGTGCTGGATATTAATAAAATAAAATTATTGAAAATTTGGAAAAAATTATATTCACGATTTTAGGCAGTGATGGTACCTCTTTTCTAGATATTAGTCACATATTTTCTTGAAAACTTCCGGATACAAATTATGTAGTATACAATATGACAAACATATCTACTTTGTTCCAAATACCCATGTAATTTCTAAAAAAGTATAGTAAACCAAACGAATTATGTCAATTTCTCCTTACTTCTCATAACTTCTCTATTGTCATTCAATCATTTTTCAATCATTGAATGTGTTATATTCGAAAGAAATAAAATTTAAACCAAATTCTTTTATTTTCTTTTTTTCAATATTTTATTGAATTATGAATGAAAGACACTTCACTTCAATCTAAGTAATCATTTAACATAACTCTTAAATGACGGCCGTAAGAATTCTTTTATGTTTGGTCTCATTAGCATATTTGTTTTTCACAAGTTGTGATGATGAAACCATCAAAAATATTTTAAAGTTATATAGAATAATCATTATATATATATATATATATATAGATAGACACATCTAAATAAATTCAATAAACTTAGATATCAAATCTATGTTCATTATTGCTCTCTCACACACACACACACACACAAAAATTTGAGAAAGTTTTAAATATTACTTTAAAATTGTACTTAAATACCAACGATTTCAACTTTCTGAAGACTTTGATAGAGAAATTCCAGAGATGAAACCATTATTCTTTATATAAAAATTAAGTTTAATATTAAACCAAATTTTATACGTTTAAAGCATAACAAACTATAAAAATAAAATAGTAAATTTAAAATTAGAAATAAAAACATGTATTCTTCAAAATTATTCAATGAATTTCTGATATAATTTAAATACACAGTTTACTCATTTATGAAAATCTCTATAATGTTTTTGTTATAACTAACAAACTCAACTAAAATTTCAAAACTTTGAAAAAAAAAATTCTAGTGCATTACAAAATACAATAATAAAATTATTAAAACGTCTTGCTTCTTTTGAAAAAATAACACAAATTATAATTTAAAACCAAACGTTAGATACCATATCTACTTTATGTTATAAACAAATAAGTTTGCTATATATTCATGAACATATAATGAAACACAATATCAGAATAAATGGTTTTTTTTGTAAAACAATCTGTAGTTTATTAATAGTTTTAGCTATTGATCACTTGCATTTGCATCTTTTAAATAT